AGCCTGCAACCCAGGCATGTACCATTTTCCAGAACCAAACCCGGGACCCTTTGATCCCCAGGCCAACACTCTATCCACTGAGCAAAATGAGCCAGGGCTAATTTTTGTAATAGTAGACACTCCTCAGTTATTGAGTCTCTTATGAGTTTATAATAGGATCCTAGAACAAGGGTGTTGGAATGAACTTTGTGATATCTTCTAGCAAGTGAATCTGGAAATAAGAAGTTAACACATTTTCAGTGATATGTCCTCCTATTTTAAATACCCATAATGCCCTATATCTCTTTACATTTCTAACTTGTTAGTTGATTATCACAGTTGGTATAACAAGCCTATCTTCCCCACTGGCAGGGAAGGTCCATCAGCCTGCGTCTGTTTTGCTCACCACTCAGTCTTCAGTGCCAGCACCTGGGGAGCCGCTCAGTCATATTTGTTGACTGGCCAAGTGACTGACGAGTGAGCTCACTAGCTTACATGAGGCAGGCCTGTGGACAACGTGTGCTTCACCACCGCCTGTGGGAACAGCCGCCTGATAAAGGGCAACTGAATGGACACGGACCCGGTCCTGGGACAGACTGCCAGGACTATGTCCTAGCCCCGTGGTCGGCAAACTGCGGCTCGCGAGCCACATGCGGCTCTTTGGCCCCTTGAGTGTGGCTCTTCCTAAGCCTTAGGAGTACCCTTATTAAGTTAATAGCAATGTATCTACCTATATAGTTTAAGTTTAAAAAATTTGGCTCTCAAAAGAAATTTCAATTGTCGTACTGTTGATATTTGGCTCTGTTGACTAATGAGTTTGCTGTCCTAGCCCCTCCACTTGTTAGCTCCGCGACCTTGTAAGAGTTACAGGAGCTCTGTAAGCCTCAGTTTCTTGATCTACTAAATGGGGATGATAATAGCACCTCCCTCATAGGGTTGTTCTAAGGAAAAACTAGAGATTCGCTAGAAGCATTCCCTAGGTCAGCATGCCATAATATATGTTGTCCCCCCAGTTCAGCCAGCACCGCATCCTACCCAGGACTACGTAGCAGGCAGTGATCCCCGCAAGACCTGCCACTTTGAAAGTTTGCCAACTCCTGCTTCACACAGTGCAAAGGACTGCCTGTTCCAGAACGTTCCAAACTCCCCAGAAACCCCCCCCCCCCCAGCTTCTGTGGGTAATGCCTGCCAAACACTCAGCACTTTGCTCTCCAGAAGTATCTGGGTTCCTACGACTTTGCTCTCAATGGCATTATTGCTGATCAAATTCTCATAGGAGCTTGGTTAAGCCACACTCCTCACAGAGTTTACAACACCCTTCAGGACCTCACCGCTCCTTGATTCTGAGTCTGCCCCTCGCCCTTCCTCCTCCGCCGCCCTCCGCCAGGCAGGGCTTGTCCTTGGGGAGTGCCATGCTTGCCTTCCCCTCCTGCCTTTCACAGGCAGCTCCCTCAGCCTGGCCCTTCTGAGCCCCAGGCCTCTACTGAACCACCGCTTCCTTCAGAAAGCCCCCTGGCCTTCCAGGGGGTTGGATGCCGCGCCCGAGGCCCGAGGCCCGAGGGCTCCCTCGCTCTCTGTGAATTGGTTGTCTCCTTGGTTGTACCCCCCGCCCCCCATGAGCACTCGGGAAATAGCTGTAGAATCACTAAGTGAGCAAATGGATGAGGTGCGTTCTGCTGCGTCAAGCAAATCAAGGAGGAGATGAAATTCACTTTCCTTTCAACACAGATGGATGTGGCGAGACAGCGCCATCCTCACTAGAACACGGTCTCTCTCTGTGTTTACCTGACGGCAGAGCCGAGGCTCCTTATCCTTTCTCACCTCAGCCACACAGGGCCCCTGCAGGTAACTGAGCGCCAGACAAGCCCTAAGCCAGTCACTAATTTGGTCCATGCCAGACACTTCTGCACATTTAGATTCTAATTTACTACCATTGGCTTTTAAAGAAATAAATACCTAATGCTACATCGAGAAGGAACACTTACTCTTCCGCCTACAGCACAGGCGAGTGTCAGGGCAGGCAAGGGAGGGGAACGTCAGTCCCGGTTCCCCAGCCTGACTGGGCGAGGAGACGGGTCCCCAGAGGGCAACGGGAAAGGAGCACAAACACAGAGGAGTAACTTAGACGTAATGTCCCGTTTTGATCCTGATGCCGCCCTGAGCAATCCTATCTAAGACAAACATGGTCATTAACCGTACTTCCGACATGCTTCCCATTGGCTAATCAGGGCGATATGCAAATTAACTGCCAACCAAGATGGCGGCCGGCAGCCAGGCAGCTGAAGCAAACAGGATGCTTGCTTGCTCCAGTGATGGAGGAAGCCAAGGTTCCCCGCCTGCCACCGCCCACCTCTGAGCTGCACTCTAAGCAACTATGTTGCAATTATAGAAGCTAAACAAAGCCCAGATACCTGCTTTCAGCAGCCGAGGTCTCAGAGCTGGAGCCGAGCCTCAGAGCTAAAGCCGGCTCTCAGCTCCAGTGACAGCCATAGAAGGTAAATAAATCCCAGAATAAAAAAAAGAAAAAGAAAAAAAGGAGAGGTTGGGAGCTTCAGTCACCTGCCAGCCTGAAAACGGCACTCAGCCCCTCACCCAGACTGGCCAGGCACCCCAGTGGGGACCCCCACCCTGAAGGGGGTGTGACCAGCTGCAAACAGCCATCATCCCCTCATCCAGGCTGGCCAGGCACCCAAGTGGGACCCCCACCCTGATCTGGGACACCCTTCAGGGCAAACCAGCCGGCCCCCACCCGTGCACCCGGCCTCTATCCTATATAGTAACCGGGTAATATGCAAACTGACCCTAACAGCAGAAGGACTGGGAATGACTGGTCACTATGACACACACTGACCACCAGGGGGCAGACGCTCAATGCAGGAGCTGCCCTCTGGTGGTCAGTGCGCTCTCACATGGGAGGAGCTCTGCTCAGCCACAAGCCAGGCTGATGGCTGCCAGTACAGCGGCAGTGGTGGGAGCCTCTCCTGCGTCCTCAGCAGCGCTAAGGATGTCCAACTGCAGTT